AGACGGTCTGGCAGGGTCCTGGTCCTGCCCGCAGTCTGGCTGGCCCCGGGCCCTCAGTGCTGCATCAGGCACTCAGAGGCCTTCTCCAGAGTCAGGTTGGCCAGATGTGGGCGCCCCAGACACGTGAAGCTTGGTGATACCAGGCTGCAGGGAGACATGAGTGCCCCAGTCCTTCTTCTCCCCAACCTTGCCCTCCCTGGGGGGGTCTTTGCTTGGGGCCTGGGCCCCTCTTCCCAGCTGGGGCATGAGACAGGGCCGCAGGCGGACCCTCGAAGCCACCTGTGGGGGTCCTGCCCGTGCTCACACCCTCAAGACAGCATTAGGGTTACACCCAACACTCCCACCACCGGCACTGCAAAAGGCAGTGGGGGGGCCGGCTGTAAATTGGCTGTAGTCAGGGTTTTAGTCTCTGGCTTGGGCACAGCTTCTGCCCCAGGGCCCGCCCGGCCCCCCGCAGCCCCCCGCCGCGGATCACTCACAATGCTGGAGTGGTTCTGGGCGTCCAGGCCGGGAGGAGGGGGGGGGGCTCGTGTTTATCGTGAGGTGATGGCACGGGTGTGGTGGCAGGCCATGTCTGCACAACTCCAGGTGCAGAGAGAGCCCTGCCTGGCGGCCCCACCCCGTCCAGCACCCCTGCCCACCCCCACTGGCCCAGACAACCCCACGCCACCCTGCCCTCCCCTCCAGGGGTACGGGCCGGGGGACCTTACCTCATGTTGGTGTTCTGTCTGAAAGACACGACAGGGCCCTGGTTACCTCCGAGCCTTGGGAATGAGCTGTGCCCGTGGCCTCAGGCCTCTCTATGGAGGTGCACATCCACCACGGGGGCCTCCCCAGCTCTGATCACCACCCTGCCACCCATTTGGGAGAGGGCTAGGACCAGGCTATGGGGTCCCTTTAACCAGGATGTGCCCCCTTGTGCCAGCTGAGCTCAGAGACCGTCGGAGGAAGAGGCTGCGACCCTCCCAAAGACTCCTGGCCCATACTCACCCTTGTGGGTGCGAGTGCACAGTGCCTCGTAAAACTCATGCTGGGTTTGGGGAGGGGGAACTTACTTGTGCCACATATTCCTACAATGACAGCAGGTTTGGAGTCGGGCCAAGAAGCCTCGATGGGGCTCCCCTCCGAGAACCCAGCTGCCCTAACTCACATGTACTGGAGGAGGCCCTGCACTGCGGTCTCCCACTGCACAGGTGACCTGCGGGAACACGGGACGTAGAGGGGGCATGGCCCACGTTCAGGGGCCAGCTGGGGGGCTTCCATCCCCCCACCCAGGTGATGAGGGCCTCTCCATGGAGAGTCTCGGAACCCATGGCAGGGGCCCCCAGCACAGACATCTGCCCGCGCCTGAGCCCTACTCGCAGTTGTAGCCAAAGCAGATGACATGCGAGTCTGTGCAGTTGGTGCAGGCGATGGTCTCATACTGGAAGACGCCTGCAACACAGCAGAGGCGGCAGCAGGCTCTTACCCTCTGGGCCCCAGGGCTGCGAGCTGCACCTCACAACCCGAACAGAGGCTCACCCACCACAGTGACGCTGACAGTTGATGTAGCCTGTGGGGGACCAGAGCACAGATGGCGCCTTCTTAGTAGGCCTATCCTGTCCCCTGCTCTAGCCCACCCAGGCCACCCACGGCTCAGGGCCTCCAGGGACCAGTGGGGGGAGGTGGCTGGGGAGGGTGGGATTTATCCCTCAAGGTGCCCCCTTGGTATCCACGGGATGAAAAGGTCCCTTCCCCAAGGTGTCATCCCTTCTTTCTGTCCTGAGTTCTGACATCCAGCTGCACCAAGCCAGATGCCCTCTTCATATTAGTCCAGCCCCAGCCATACCCTGGCCCCGGGACCCCCAGCCTGGAAGGAGACACATGCTCTGGTGGCCCTGGGTCCTCAGGCCCTGGGCAGCACCCTCCATACCCCAGCCCTCAATTGCTCACTTTCGATGATGGCATTCTGGATGAGGTGCACCTGCTCCCGGAAGATAGCTCGCAGCTCGTTGGGGAAATACCCTAACGGGGTGGGGAGGCAGAAGAGAGGTCAGCCTCAGACAGGGCAGGTGAGCTCTGCCTCAGTGTCCCGCACGTGACGGCCGCCCCCTTACCCGGGAAATACATCTTCCCCTGGTACAGCTGATCCATCTTCTTGTACACGGCGTTTGCCACTTGGTTCAGCTTCTCCCGGGCTGGGGACGGGAGGAAGCGTGTGAGCGGCGCGGTCCTGGATCTGGCTGGGCCAGGGGCGCGCCCAGACGGGGCCCCGGCACTCACTGATCTCCGCGGGGATGGCCAGGTGCAGCTCCTTCAGTGTGTCCTGACTCCAGTCGGTGAGCAGCGAGCCCGACACGGGGATGTCGCCCACCCACCAAGACTTGAGGTTCACGTGATGGCGGTAGAAGGAGAACTTCTCCGAGAAGTTGCCGTGGCAGTGCAAGCAGCCGCGGGCCAGCGCCGCTGTCAGTCCCAGGTACAGCAGCAGGGCCATGGCCCGCCCCTGCCCGCCGCCGGCCAACCGACGGCGCCTCCCGCGCCACGCCCCCCGCCGCGCACCCGCCAACGGCGCCCTCCTGGGCCGTGCTCGCGCCCCGCCACCGACGTTGGCCCCGCCTCCGCAACGGACAACTGAAGGCGCTCTCCCAGGCCCCGCCCACGAACCACCTCTCCCAGATAAGGTTCCGTCCCTCTGTTAGCCCCGCCCCCGGCCTGCGCTCCTCGCCCGCGACCACCTCCCGTACAAGCTCCTCCG